GTCTGTGTGTATGTAGCAACTTGCTATAGTGCTGACATAGAAACCGTCAAACATAGTAGTACGTTTTCTTTCTTTCCCTACGTTCAGTCTTCAAGCTCCTTATTACATTTGAGAGCTTCTTGAAATATGTACATTATGCTTGTCACATTGTCTGCTCTCCAAATACTTCTACTTGTATTACATTAAAAATGTAAACTCTAAACATACTATTCTATATCCATTACCGTAAGCAATCTTATTTGCGTAAAGAATCCATTACATGATGCTTATTCTGAAATAACCCTCGATATCTATACATGCTTGCTGGTATCTATATTGTTACGGTCTATCTCGTTACCATATGTTGTAATTTCTGTATCTCTTGCTTCTATAAACGCATCTTGTGTGCCAGAACACTCCTTATGCGTTGCATGATGTATTTCTTCTTACTTATTGTGGTCTTTGTAGTATCTGTGTTATTCGTTACTGTAAGTATTATCTAGTAGTATGCAGTGTACATCTAAGATAACTAATACATCAAAGGTAGAAGTGTTTCCTTTTGCTTCTTGTCTTAAATTGCTTTCGTTGTTGCATGCAATAAGTTGTAACTAATTTTTCTATAAAATACATGGGAATACAGGTATTGCGTATACTATCTCGCTACACATGTGCAAGTACTAGTGAGTGCTAGCGATCTTGTGTAGCGCTTACTGTAAGCTACGCTGTCATTATATGCTGCAGAATAAAAAGTGTACAACCTATACTATCAGTAAATATATGCTAGCACGTATCACTCTACACAGTAACAATTGAACAAAAATATTCATTCTAGTATACTGAATAAGAAGGCAGATGGAAAATCCTAAGAAAGCAATCCCTTACTCAAGTGCGTTTATAAAAGAATTACTCAATACATATGGTAGCCCATTGTATATATACGACAAAAAAAACATTACAGAAAATGCCCAGGAATTATACAATGCTTTTTCATGGCATACGAAATTTAAGAACTATTTTGCAGTAAAGGCAACGCCAACAGCAAAACTGCTTTCTCACCTACACAGCATTGGAATGAACATGGATTGCAGCTCCTATGCAGAACTTACCCTCGTCGAGAAATTGGGTTTCAAGGGCGACGCCCTCTTTTTTAGCTCTAATAATACCCCTCGCAAAGACATGAAAAAAGCTCTTGAGTTAGAAGCTATTATTAATTTAGATGACATAAGCCTGCTAGATTTTCTCATTGATACAGCAAAGGATAAAGAATTCCCCAAGACACTCAGCTTTCGTTTTAATCCTGGACCTCTTAAAGAAGGGAATGTATTTATAGGAAAACCCGAAGAAGCAAAATACGGGCTTACTTACGAACAGCTCTTCCCTGCATTTCAAAAAGCACAAACAATAGGCGTGCAGAAGTTTGGACTACACACTATGGTAGCATCCAACGAACTAAACCCTTACTATTTTGTTGAAAATGCGAAACTACTTTTTAGTGTAGCCGTAGAAATACAAAAGAAACTCAATGTAAATATAGACATCATAAACTTGGGGGGCGGCATAGGTATACCTTATATGCCTGGACAAGAAAAAGTAGACTACAACATCATCTCTCAAGGCACACAAAAAGCATACAAAGAACAACTAAGCCCAGCTGGGCTCAACCCAGCAATCTACATGGAAAACGGTAGGGTTATCACCGGCCCTTATGGATACCTGCTAAGTACTGTGCTGCACAAAAAAGCTATATATAAAGACTACGTGGGCTTAGATGCATGCATGTCTCAGCTTATGCGCCCAGGCATGTACGGAGCATATCACGAAATAACTGTGCTAGAAAAAGAAGAGCTTCCTAAAGACAAAACCTATGATGTTGTGGGAGGCTTATGCGAAAACAATGATAAATTTGCCATAGATAGGGCGTTGCCAACTATTGAAGTAGGAGACATAGTAATAATACACGACGTAGGGGCACATGGTCATGCTATGGGGTTTAATTATAACGGAAAGCTTCGTTGCGCAGAGGTGCTTATACACGAAGATATGCAACATGAACTTATACGAAGAGCAGAAACAGTAGAAGACTATTTACGCACAAGTATATTCTAAGCAGGAGAACACATATGAACAATATACTAATTATTCCTGCCATTGACATTAGCAATGGACGCTGCGTTCGTTTAGTAAGAGGGCACTTCTCATCTAAGGTAGAATATGATGAAGACCCTGTGGACATGGCGCAAAAATACTACGACTATGGAGCAAAGATGATACACGTAGTAGACCTAGACGCTAGTATAAACAACGGAAATAACAGAGATGTAATAGAAAGAATATGCAATGCGGTACCTCATTGCATTGTCGAAGTTGGTGGGGGTATTAGACATAACACTGACGTGCAGCAACTAAGTAACATAGGTGTACAGAGAATGGTACTGGGTACAATACTCATAAAAGACTATTTTGAAGCACTGTCTTGGATTCGTCACTTTGGCAACATATTCGTAGCCTCACTTGACCTACGAGATGAAAAACTACAGCTCGCTGGGTGGAAGGAAGAAAAAGACATAAACTACAAAGACTATCTACATATGATAAACAACAGTACATTTAAGACAGTAAATTTTACAGACGTATCTAACGATGGCATGTTAACAGGCATAAACATACCGTTAGCAAACCATATAGCAACACAATCAAAGCACTCGCTGGTTATTGCGGGTGGCCTTGGAGAAGAATCACATATAGAAGAACTTGTGGAGCAAGGACACAGCAACATAGCAGGTATTATTATAGGAAAAGCAATTTACGAGGCAAAAATAGATATACAAGCATTGCTGAAAAAATATTCCCGGGATATATCAACTTCCGTATTGCTATGATAGAAACTACTATGATAGAAAAAAACAGCGACAACTTTCCTCTTATCATCAAACATGAACACACAATACTTATGGTTCTTACTGTAAACAAAAAAGCAGTAGATAAATCTATTGAAACCGGCATATGCTGGATTGTGCACCCAAGCACAAAAAAGGTTATCCCACATCATCCAGAAACACAACTACATACCATATACAAAAAAGACACATGGTACGAAGCTCAAGCAAGGATACACGCAAGCACAGCGCAGACTCCCATAATACCCACAACACACAAAGACCAGCAAGACGTTGCTTCTTGTAGGGCATCCTACGATGTATTGAATACACTACACACCCTTATACAAGAACGGAAAAAAAAACATGCCTGATGGCTCTTATACCACGTATCTTTACTCTAAAGGAATGGGGAAAATAAAGAAAAAATTAGGAGAGGAGCTTATTGAGCTCTTGCTTGCCGAGAACGAAGAAGAAATCTGCAATGAGGCAGCGGATCTCTTCTATCATATGTGGGTCTACTTTGCTGGGAACAATATAGATCCTAAGCAAGTACTTGCTGTGCTATCAGAACGTCTTAACGGAGAGAAAGAACAATGAATTATTTCTTAAAGTACATACTAACCCCTCTTCCATACAAACTCTACAGAAGGAGTGCAGTCATTGTGCTTATTATTATAAACATAGTACTATTTATTCTGTTGCAGCTCTTCCCACATATTATTGGCTTTTTAGCCATAAACCCAAGGTTGTTTATAAGTTATTTCTTTCTCTGGACTCCACTAAGCTATATGTTTACACATACCGGGTTTTCTCATATACTTTTTAATATGTTAGGCCTTTATTTCTTTGGTACAATTATAGAACGACAGTGGGGAAGTGATGAATTTCTTGTGCTTTACCTTGGTTCTGGCATACTCTCAGGGTTACTCTCACTTATTGCTTTTTTTATAACAGGTTCGGTGAACGTTATGCTTATTGGGGCATCGGGGGCTATATATGCTGTACTGCTTGTATTCTCTGTGCTTTACCCCAACGCTCGCATGTACATCTTTGGTATCTTCCCTATTACAGCAAAAGTTCTTATACTTATCTACATTGGAATACAAATTCTTTCCTTGCGTGGTGGTCTTTATTCAAATGTAGCATATCTCACTCATCTTTTTGGGCTCGCTATTGCATGGGTATATATGCTTGTAAGGCATAAAAAAAACCCCTTCAAACGACTCTTTCAATGAAGCAACAGTCGCTAGTAAACACATTATACTATAGTATTAGTATTTGCCTTCTTTTGCTCGGCACTAACTGGTTTGCATCAAAAATACTAGTTGTAGAAAGTTGGGCATATCCTGAATTGAATTTTGACTCTAGCAACACTATAGAAAGCATAGCGAATATAAGAAAGGAAAACATATTTGCTTCACTAGAACCAGAAATACGCAAAACTGCATTGGAAATTATAAATGCATCGATTTATGGATACCGCTTTAGCTATACACCAGAAAAGCAAAGCAGGGGGGTAGAGGAAGAGTGGGGGCTCGAGGCTGTCGCTCGCATAAGCGATAACGATAGTAGCATTATCGAGCTAGAACGTAGTAATTATGCAGGTGCTTTTTACATTTTCTACCGCTACAACCTTCGTCCCGACCAAGTACAAAGACTTCGGGCATGGGAAGAGGACAGTACCATCGTACACAGCATGGGAGATGGATTTTCTCTCAAGAGGGATCAGGAGAATAGCAAAACGCTGGCTTTATACGACGCCATACAAAGCGCGATACGTAATAGGCTAAAAAACAGTATTACAGAAGCAACAGATAAAATTACAGGAAATGTACTGCTTGAAAGTCAACCGTTTTTTGCAGATAATGGAGATCACTTTACTTCAAAGGTAAGTATAATGATACAAGTCGCTTCTATCAGTAATCTCAAAGTATACTGATGCAAGGTTTAGTACTCGGTCGTTTTCTTCCTCCACATAGAGGGCATAGCTATCTTATAGATTTCGCTCGTTCTATGTGCTACGAAATACATATCTGCCTCTGCTCTAAACAAGAGGAGCCCATTAGCGGGATGTTGCGATATCAATGGCTACAAGAACAATACCCTACAGAGCAAATATATCACATTACAAAAGAAATACCCCACGCCCACAAAGACAACCCAAAGGCACCCCAGATATGGGCAAAGGAAATACAAACAATAATACAGAAGGACATAGACTACTTCTTTGCATCAGAGGAGTATGGGTGGCACTTTGCAGAGTGCTTGGGAGCAAAGTTTATTCCTTTGGATTTTGAAAGAAATAATATACGTATTTCAGCGTCAGAAATACGTAAGGCGCCTCTTACGCACTGGCAGTACCTTATCCCCCCAGTGCAAGAATACGCACGTATTCTTATTGGAGTATATGGAAACACAGACTACGCCATAACACTAGCCCGCGAATTGAATACAAAACTAGTGTACCCATACCCTCAGAAAAATCTTAGTATATTAGCAAATACTGTTTCTGACACTGAAATACAGCAAATACTACAAGCAGAGGTCTCTGCCATACACGCGTTTCCCTACCCCATCGTCATTGTGGCGCTGGGACCCACACAAGAGCACGCAAGTAAAGAAGCAGAAGTGTGCAAAACCATCTTTACTATACACAATACAGAAACATATTCACTCGCATTAAAATATTGCAAGACACTTTTTACTCAAACATGGAGCGAATTATATGCAGAAAAATATAGAACATAACACAACAAAGCAAGTACTTAACTGTGGTTTTGTGCGCCTTATTAACTCTATGGGCAACGATACCAGCATTGTAAACGCCGCACGGGTTTCATACGGCGATGGAACAAAGAAAAACAGGAAGGATGAAGCGCTCATTCGCTATCTACTTCAAAACGCACACACCTCGCCCTTCGAGCATGTAGTATTTACCTTTCACCTAAAAATGCCACTGTTTATAGCACGCCAGGTACTAAGACATAGAACAGCACGATTAAATGAAATATCTGCAAGATACAGTATCATGAAAGACGAGTTCTACATCCCCGAACAGAAAGTTATTGCCGGTCAAGGCACAAACACAAAGCAAGGACGCTCTAGCACACCATTAGAAGCTACTCAACAAGAACAAGCGTGTGCAATACTTACACAGCAGTATCAAAACGCCTATGCAAACTACCAAGCCTTATTAGCCATGGGGGTCGCAAGAGAATTGGCACGTATAGTGCTTCCACTCGCTATGTACACAGAGTGCCACTGGCAAATAGACCTACACAATCTCTTTCACTTTCTTCAACTACGCCTTCACCCCCATGCCCAATACGAAATACAAGAATACGCGCGCTGTATGTTTGAAATCGTAGAGAAGATATGCCCTATAGCCTCTCAGGCATTTAAGGATTTTGTACTAAGTACGCTACACCTACATTCTCATGAAACAAAAATTATACAGGAGCTCATCGAAGCTAATGCAGTAAGCCTACCCTCTGCCATACAAAACATACAAGAAAACAAGACATTGCGCAAAAGTGAAAAAAAAATACTTATTGAAAAACTAGAAAAAATACTTGATACAAGTGATACAGAAAAATGAATAAAAATCTACAAAAACTATGGAAGCTTCTCTCCTTTATCCCCACGCCAAAGACAGTGTTACGTTATTCCAAGATGTTAGATTATGTAGCATGTGCTGTGTACGTCATTATTATAGTAATCGCACTTATCCTTGTCTTACACAGAGGGTCGGGTGCTGCATATGTAGAAATAACTACATCGCAAGATGTATATATCTACCAACTGGAAGCTGTACACGAGCTACACTTAGACGGCCCCATAGGCACAACCCATGTAAGCATTAAAGATGCAATGGTAGCGGTAAAAGATTCGCCAGGACCATTAAAAATATGCGTGCATTCTAGCCCCATATCACAGGCGGGGCAGTGGTTAGCCTGTCTTCCAAATAAAATATTTATTCGCATAGCCCAAGATAGCAATGAAGTCTCTGTGGACGCTATAGTATACTAGTAAAATACTCATAGAAACTACTCTATGCAGATATCATACATATATACTATAATAAAAATACGTAGATAGAACTTAGTATGAGTACTGTTTTTCTTTTTCCAGGACAAGGTGCACAGAAACAGGGTATAGGATTATCGTTATATGAGCATTCCACCACAGTGCAACATTTCTTCTCTCGTTGCTCTGACATCATACAGCAAGACATTACAAAGCTCCTGTTTGAATCCTCTGAAGAAGAGCTACAAAAAACAGAAAACACACAGATAGCCATTACCGCTGTAAACATAGCCACAGCATTAGTTATAAAAGACATGGGCATTGAGGCAACCTCACTCGCTGGTTTTAGCTTAGGAGAATACTCGGCCTTAGCTCTTGCAGGTGTAACAGGAGAAGAAGAGTTGTTTTCTATGGTGCTGCAGAGAAGTAAGATTATGGAAAGTTGTAGCAGGGAAGCAGAGAGAAAATTAGCAAAAGAAGAAGGTGGAGAACCACGCTTAGGCATGACTGCTATTGTGGGCATGCATCCGCACACAATAGAAACACTACTACATGAATGGGGTGACACTCATGTATATCTTTCCATGTATAATAGTCCCACGCAGGGTGTGTTAAGTGGTACACAAAAAGCACGAGAGGATGCTTCACAATTTCTACTACAGAAGGGGGCAAGAAAAGCCATTCCTCTTAAAGTAGGTGGTGCGTTCCACAGCTCCTTCATGCAAGAAGCACGCACTATCTTTGAAGCAAGCATAAAAAACATTGAGTTTAGAGACCCAAGCATCCCCATATATTCAAATGTAACAGCCGATAAGGTAGTGTCTGGGAGGACATTAAAATCTCTCTTCCTCGATCAAATAGTACAACCAGTACAATGGATACAAGAAGAAAATGCAGTGTGGGAACAAGAACATCCAACGCAGGTATTCGAAGTAGGTCCTGGCGGGGTACTAAGTGGTTTATGGAAGCAGTGGAAGCGTGATAAAACAGACCTACATATCCCAGACAGCATCTCGCTAGATTCATACGAAAAAATTCATGAGTGGATACAAAACAATAACAGTAATTGATTATTTTTTGATATAATTATATATAGCTGTATAAAAGGAAGAACAATGTTGCTAAAAGACAAACATGCATTTATTACTGGAGGTTCGAAGGGCATAGGTTTAGGAATATGCAAACGCTTTCTCGAACATGGACTGCGTTCTCTTGCTTATTTTTCAAGGACAGAAAGCCCAGAACACGCTGTGCTTTTAGAAACAGCAGAGCAATATCAATCCTCTGTCTACCACTATCAAGGAAGCGTCGATGATGAGAAGGCCTTACAAAATTCCATTGCAGACTTTAGTACTAAATCAGGATCGTTAGACATACTTGTAAACAACGCAGGAATAACAAAAGATAAGCTTATTATTGGTCTTAGCCTCGAAGACTGGGACTCAGTAATAAATACAAACCTAAAAAGTGTTTTTATCGCAAGTAAGTCTGCAACACAGATTATGCTAAAGCAACGGAGGGGAGTAATAGTAAATATAAGCTCAGTAGTAGCAATACACGGCAATGCGGGGCAATCAAACTACTGTGCCTCTAAGGCTGGTGTTATTGGTTTTACAAAGAGTCTAGCCCGCGAAACAGCTAAGCGCGGAGTACGCGTAAATGCAATAGCACCTGGATATATTAAAACTGAAATGACAGATAAAATACATGACACATATAAGGAAAAACTACAGGAGCTCATCCCTCTTGTAAGAATTGGGGAAGCAGAAGATATTGCAGATCCTTGCGTGTTTCTTTGCTCGGATATGTCGCGTTATATTACAGGTGAAGTACTTGTAGTGTCGGGTGGTATGTAGGGGGAATTAACCATGAAAAGAAAACGGCTTGTAATCACGGGGCTTGGTGCAGTGTGTCCCTCTGGAAACTCTGTGCCAGAACTATGGAACTCTCTTAGCAATGGAAGAAGTGGTATAGATACATTACCTGAACCCCTGCTTTCAGAACTAAGCGACAACCCTACCAAATATGGGGGGGTAGTGAAAAACCTTCAACCTGAAACATTCCTAGAAAAAAAACTCTTGCGAAAAATGGACAAGCTATCTATCTATACCACAAAGGCAGCTATTGAATGCGTGGAATCCAGCTGTATGAAACTCAATCAATCTAAAAGATACAGATGCGGTTGCGTTATGGGTGTTGGTATTGGTGGGATGGAAAGCTACAACAACGGAGTAATTGCGTACAAAGACAGGGGGTGGAAAAGCATCCCTGTTATGACCATATCGAAAATTATACCAAATTCCACGAATTCTAATATCGCATTACATTTTCCTTACTTAAATGGCATTAACTACTCTGTAAACACAGCTTGTTCCTCTAGCTCAGATGCAATAGCAGCAGCTGCACGGCATATATTACTAGATGAGGCAGATTTTATGTTAGCAGGAGGTGCAGAAACATCGCTTACTGGCTTTGGTGTCTCTAGTTTTAATGTACTCCATGCCTTAAGCACAAAATGGAGCCACGATCCCACGAAGGCTTCACGTCCCTTTGACAAAGATAGAGACGGCTTTGTCATGTCGGAAGGAGCTGCGGTTATAGCATTGGAATCACTAGAACATGCAGAACAAAGAAACGCCCCCATACTTGCTGAGCTCGTTGGTTTTGCAAACACAAACGACGGATACCACTACACAGCCCCCGATCCTGATGCACATGGAATAGTACGTGCTATGCATTGCGCGCTCGAGCAAGCTGCAATAGACCCGTCTGCCATCGATTACATAAACGCACACGGCACTTCAACACCCACAAACGACCCCCTTGAAACACAGGCAATCAAAAAAGTATTTAAGGAATATGCTTATACAGTAAAGATAAGCTCTACTAAATCTATGACAGGGCACTGTGTAGGTGCAACAGGGGCTATTGAAGCAATAGCGTGCATTAAAGCAATAGAAAAGCAATTCCTCCCCCCTACTATCAATTTAGATACTCCAGATACAGACTGCGACTTGGACTACATTCCACATAAAGGTATAGCACACAAGGTGGAATACGCCATGTCTAATACTTTAGGGTTTGGAGGACATAATAGTGTGCTTATCTTTAAGAGCTACCAGCAGTAGCCTTGTTTATAGAAAGAACATTGCATAGTAGCTGGAGCTGGCCATAGCTACTCACTGACCAACAACTATACTCTTTTATTTACTTTTATTTTATACTCTTTGGTGTTTGTAGCTTTTATTTTCTTTGTCTTTGTGTTTTCTTTACCGTTGTGTTTTTTGTTTTACTGCTTGTTTTGCTATTTGAAGTACTTGCTGGTCTTATTGGCTTTACTTCGTGGGTAAAGAATATATTATTCCGAACAGCAAAAATATTGCTTGGATCTAGTTTAGTTTTTACCGCTATAAGTGCTTCTTTTGTAACTGAATCGTATACAGAATCAACGAAGTCTGCCCTTAACTTTCCGATGCCGTGATGGTGGCTAATGGATCCACCAGCATTCAATATCTCCTGGCGGATAGTTTTTTCTAATAGAGAAAATTTATTCTCTGGATTTTTTACATGAGAAAAATTAAGTCCATGCGTAAAGTAAATGCACACACCTGTAGGATAAATCTGCGTAATTCTTGTAGCAACAAAAGAAATGCCGGGGAACCTATTTCTTGTATGCAAATCTTGTGCTTTTCGCTTTACTGCATCACAGACTTTCTCTATATCATTCCACAGCACTGTGGTTTCATATGTTTCCCCAAGAATATAATAATCTAGAAAGAAATCACGTATATATGCAATAGCGTATGTAAGTGCGTAGCCGAGTTTACCGTTTGAACCCCCACCAAACACACCATTGTACTTCTTCGCTAACTTCTTCATCATCGTTTTCTGGTGTACTACCTCTTCTTTTGTTCCTTCAAACACAATAGTTGCTGCAGACATTTTCTTGAGATTAAATCGCTTAAGTACCTTAAGTATAAAAATCTGCAACGCACGAACTATCTTTTTCAAAAAACCTGCTTCTGCCTTAAGTGCCTGCCCAAAGCGAAACTGTATATTGTCCATCAATCGTATGCTTGCGGGGTACGTCTGAAGATCTTTCATGTCTTTTAGAAATTGTATGCCAGTGGAAAAGTCCTTAAAAATAATAGACTCGTATCCTTGTTGTTTTGGGACTTTGCGAATTTTTAACGTTGCTCTTGTTATTATCCCTACATTTCCTTCGCTACCAAACAGTAAACGGGATATTTGCATGCCTGATGAGGTTCTTGGAAACATATGCTGAGATTCAATAATTCCTTTTGGGGTAACCATAGTAAATCTATCTACTATATCTTCTATATTTCCATATCTATTTTTTTTCATACCGCTTGCATTAGTAGCAATCCACCCTCCTACAGTGGAAAATTCTATACTATCAGGTTCATGACCGGTTGTGTATCCGCTTTTCTTAAGAAATTGCTCTAGTGTTTCTCCCGTAATACCTGACTGGACTGTTACATAATGGTTATTGGTATCTAGCGAGAGTATTTTTGTAAGCCTAGAAGTGTCTACAACGACTATCATACGTTTTTCATTTGTTGGAAGAGTAAGAGAAGAAGACACGCTCGTACCTCCTCCGTAGGGAACAAGGCATACATTGTACTTCTGTGCTAGTGTTACAATAGAAAATACCTCTTCCTCCTCAATGCAATAAAACACCGCATCAGCATACCTTTCCATACCACCGCAGTACAGCACCTTCATTACTTCATCGGCAGTAGTTTGCCCATGACTATGAATAAGCCTTTCCTTATCTTCAAAGCTTAGGCGATTCTTATGCTCTTTCTGCAGCTCAGATACAAAAAGCTTGTTTCTTTTTGGTGGGGGGAGCTGCACCTCCATTTCTGGTCTTTTTATATCAGAAAATGGATGTTGCAATACTTCATTCGCAAAGGGTATAAGCCGTGCCATCTCATAGCCTGACACAGGATAGCGCGAACCACTTACGGTTACCTTGCCGTTATCCTTAAGAATAAACTTAGTATCTTTGTAACCCCATCTATGTTCTGCTTTTACATGAGGAAAGATTACATCTTCTCTTTGTAGTGATTTTTCTTTGAATGCTTTATCTTTCATTGTTTTCTCCCGTATCGCTTATGCGCATCTGAAAATGTATCGTCTATCACTGCGCAAAACAAGGAAAGTTCTAAGCACAGTGTTGTTGCGGCTATAATCTCTGCTAGTTTCTTACTTGAATTCTCCCCACTGTCACATCCTATGACCCGTAGATTTCGTTTCTGAGACAGCAGCCGGGTACCTCCCCCTACCGTACCTACCGTAAGAGATGGTAGGCGTACAATAATTTCTGCCCCCTCGCAGTCCTGTGCTTCTCCTATAAAGAGTGTGCCAAGTGCATTCTCTGCTGTGCATGCTACATCCTGACCCATAGCTAAATATATTGCAGCTAAAGTGTTTGAAAAATGCAACTGCACCCCAAAAAGACCCGTAAGAGCATTAAAAGATGCCATACGTTGAAAGGATTGTACAAGTTTTTTGCTTGTGGCGTTAAGTAGTCGTACTATTGTTTCTTCTTTTATTACAGAACGTGCAATAACAAAATGTCCCCTTCCATGTAGTAGCGAGCGATAACTTGCTTTTTTGTCGCTGTTTAACCCAGACTCTACAAAGCATTCCCTTACATCAAAGTGCTTGGTCACGTAGTCCATTACACCTTTTGCAGCAATGGTTACCATATTCTGACCTGCTGCATCCCCTGTTGTAAAAAACAATTCGAGAACTACACTGCGGTAGAATATTATTTTTTTTATCTCAATAAGCTTAGCATATGAAGAGGTAGCTTCTGCGCTTTTTTTTATTTCTTCATAATGTGCATCTACAAAGTCACAGAACTTCCTTGTGACCTCCATGTCCTCGAAGAAGAATGCCGGTGCTCTGCTAAGATGCTGGGAAATATAGTATGTATTAATACCCATTACAGAGGTTGCAAGCATACCTCGCGTAAGAGAGTACACAAGCGCGCCTTCAACTGTGCATACTGGTAGTTTGAACTCCCCATTCGCATAATCGCCATGTACCACCAGTGGTGATGCTACAGCTGTTGGTATAGAGGTATACCCAATATGCTGTTCTATAATCCCCTCTAGCTCTTCTTCTGGATCAAAGAGATTTTTAGAGTAATCTACTCCAGTGCTTTCCTTTAACCACTGTACTCTTCTTTCTCTATCCTCTGCTTTCCACCCCCGCGGGGGTTTTCGCCTATTCATACATCATACTCCATTTTGCTTATATCGTTACGCTGTGTATTACTTCTCATATTACTTCTATATATGTATTATAGTATATTTTCGTTTACTGATTAATGCGCGTATCTATTACAATATACGTATGGTAATATCACAGGAATATGCACGCGATTTTTATGCAAAATTGCAAATGAAATACAAAAAACTGAGGGCAGAGTTCAAAAAACCTCTTACTCTTTCTGAAAAAATACTCTTTACACACCCCTTTTCTGAAATAAACTACAATGCTGTAGTTCGGGGTAAGGACCACATGTATTTTCGTCCAGACAGAGTAATAATGCAAGACGCTACAGCTCAGATGGCATTACTGCAGTTTATGCAATCAAAACTCTCTACCATCACCCTTCCTGCTAGCGTGCACTGCGACCATCTTATTCTTGCGAAAAGAAATGCGTTGCTAGACCTTAGCAATGCAAAAACACAGAACAAGGAGATATACGATTTTCTTCTCAGTGCGTGTAGAAAATACGGCTTAGACTTTTGGGAACCGGGCGCTGGTATTATTCATCAGGTAACCTTAGAAAACTATGCCATTCCTGGTATGATGATTATTGGTACCGACTCGCACACTCCCAATGCTGGTGGTATCTGTTCCATAGCTGTGGGGGTGGGTGGTGCAGATGCAGTCGATGCACTTGTGGGTATGCCCTGGGAACTACTTATGCCAAAAATAATAGGGGTACACTTAAAGGGCACTGTCTCTCCATGGTGCTCGCCGAAAGACATCATATTAAAATTAGCTGGAGAGCTTACTGTAAAGGGGGGCACGGGGTATATCATAGAGTATTTTGGAGAGGGTGTCCATTCACTGTCCTGTACAGGAAGAGCAACGATAGGCAATATGGGGGCGGAAGTAGGAGCTACTACATCTATATTCCCTATGGATGACAATATCCTAGAATACATTACACTTACCGAAAGAAAACATGTTGCTGACATAGCGGTTAAGCATGCTGAGATATGTAAAGCAGACGACGAAGTGCTACAGAACCCTCATTACTACTACGATAAAGTAATTAACATAGACCTTAGCACGCTAGAACCCTATATCAATGGGCCATATTCGCCAGATAGAGCCACCCCTCTTTCTGATTTTGCACGATTTATTCAAGCAGAGAAGTATCCAGAACACATAAGTGCTGCACTCATTGGGTCCTGCACCAACTCTTCCTATGAGGATTTAAGCAGAGTGTACTCTCTCCTTACCCAAGCAAAGAAGAAAAAATTAGCTCTTCGGACACCACTATGGCTCTCTCCCGGCTCTGAAAACATCTATCAGATCATAAAGCACAATGGCTATCTTACGCTGTTTGAGCAGTTTGGCACCCATGTACTAGCAAACGCCTGTGGTCCCTGCATTGGGCAATGGAAGCGCAGTGACATTAATGAAAATGATACAAATTCCATTATCAATTCATTTAATAGAAACTTTGCGAAGCGGGCTGATGGTAACCCCAATACACATTCCTTTGTAAGTTCACCAGAAATTGTAACTGCTATGGCATTGTCTGGTTCTCTACTCTTTAATCCCATGAAAGACAGTCTTATAAACAGCGACAAGGAACCTGTACAATTAAGCCCGCCTGATGCAGCGCCCCCTGCGCCTAGAGAACTCCTACATACCATCTTTGGCAGTAAACCTAAGGGGCTTATTACAGCAAACGAAGATGAGATAGCACGGAAAAAACATATTGTATCCATTTCTCCCGACTCTGAAAGACTACAAGAATTACAACCCTTCGAAGCATGGACACAAAAAAATTTCACACAGCTCTATCTACTTATAAAAGCAAAAGGAAAATGTACCACTGATCATATTTCTATGGCTGGCCCATGGCTACGCTATCGTGGTCATCTTGAAAATATATCTAAAAACCTGCTTATAGGAGCGGTAAACGCTTTTAACGATAAAACAAACCACATATACAACCCCTTTACACACACATACCAGGAAATAGAACTCGTTGCACAGCACTACAAGATACAGAAGAGCAACCTTATTATTGTGGGAGACGAAAACTATGGAGAGGGCTCATCTCGAGAACATGCAGCATTGGAGCCGCGTTTTATGGGAGTAAAAGTTGTACTAGCAAAATCCTTTGCCCGCATCCATGAAACAAACCTCAAAAAGCAGGGTATACTCCCCTTGTTGTTTATTGACCCAACAGACTACGATCGTATTCAAGAAAGAGATAGTATTGACGTACTTCGTGTAACAGAACTGCTTCCTCAATCTCGACTAGAACTTGTATTGCACCATGACAATGGAAGTACACACTCTTTTGAAGTAACACACACATTAAACGCAACTCAAACAGAATGGTTTAAGCAGGGTTCGGCTCTTAATATGATAAAAAATACACTGAGTTCTGCATAGCAGGGGCTAGGATAATAAAAATCTTTACTGATTTGAAGAAATTATGTATACTTATAGTAGAGTGGAGAGGTGACCGAGTGGTTTAAGGGGCACGCTTGGAGAGCGTGTGTACTTGAGAAAGTACCGAGGGTTCGAATCCCTCTCTCTCCGTGGACCCTTCAACAGTGATGTTCGGTGTGCTATTCATAGCATATATCTAACCCCGTCAGATCTGAGAGGAAGCAGCGGTACATATATTTCATATGGTATAGTTCTTTCGTACTGAGTTGAAGGGTTCTTTGAAAACATGGATATACAATACGAAAACACAGCAAACAAACTAAGACCTCAGAATTTTGATGCATTGGTTGGACAAGACTTTGTTATTACCTCTTTGCAAGGTGAGATAGAATCCAAGACCATCGCGCATGCGTATTTGCTCAGTGGTCCACGTGGTGTAGGAAAAACCTCACTTGCTCGACTTATTGCATTAGCGGTAAACAGGCCAGATGGGCAAGATTTTACCACATTGGAGTACGAAGGAAGTATGGAAATACGAGGGGGTTCTAGCTTAGATGTTATCGAAATAGATGGTGCATCATACACAAGCGTAGAAAATGTTCGTAAAATACGCGAAGAGGTGCTCTACGCTCCGGTAAAATGTAAGTACAAAATATATATTATAGACGAAGTGCACATGCTCTCTCATAGTGCCTTTAATGCATTACTTAAAACCATCGAGGAACCCCCACCGTATATCATCTTTATCTTTGCTACCACAGAGCTCGACAAAGTTCCGCTTACAATACGATCGCGTTGTCAGCAGTTTACATTACATCTTATTCCTATAAATATTATAGTAAGCAAATTACATATGATATGCAAAGAACGCAATATAACAGCAGACGATGAAGCTCTGCACTGGGTTGCAAAAGAGGCTCGGGGCTCACTAAGAGATGCGTATGTTCTCTTTGACCAGATAATAGCCTTCTCTGGAAGCAATATAACACTGCAGGCAATTGAAAAGAACTTAGGCCTTGCTGGTATTGATACACTGAGTTCACTCTTCTTGCTCTGTATCGAAAAAAAACGCAGAGAAGTGCAGGAGCTACTAGCATCTATTTTTGAAAAAGGAACTCATTTTGAAAAACTGCTCTCTGAAGCGTGTGAGTACCTAAGAAATATCCTTCTTATAAAGAACGGCCTCTTCTCTAAGCAACTACTTGGGTACAGCATCGATCAATTTGATAAGATGGTATATACTCAACTAAGTGTAGAGCAAATAGAATACGCTCTACGACTACTGCTCGAATGCTACCGCAATTCCCGATACTCCATAGAGCCACGCTTTGAAATTGAACTCGTTTTCAGTGTGCTCTGTACCATCACAGAGCACAAAAGCATCAATATGGTAATACAAGACCTACAAACAATACAATCAGATATTGCAAACACCTTATCCGAAACAAAAACAGCTGGGTCTATCACGCAGGCACAGCAAGACACTCACACTACAGCAAACTCCCCAGCAACAGAGACTGCGCATACCACTCACACTACAGCACGTGCCCCAACTACAGAGACTACGCATGCTATACGTAGTAGCAACCACAGTGCAGTAGATGCTATGCATACTTCTCCCACACACAGCCACAATCCCTCAGAACACGAAAACACTCAAAGCAACAGCACACCTCCAGATACCTCACAAGATGCCGTGCAAGCAAGAAAAAAAGAGAAGATTGCAAAAGCGTTACATATATTTGGTGGACAGATAATCGAGGAAGAAAGCGATGAACATACTCAATGAACTGGTAGCGCTGTTTGCTAAATTTCCTGGAATAGGAAGAAAAACAGCTCAGCGTTTTGTGTTCTTTCTTCTTAAGAAAGAAAGAGGTTTCTCACAGCAACTTGCACAACGCCTAAGCGTAGTGCACGACAGCATTCGTTCTTGTTCTGAATGTGGGAATATAAGCGAAAACGACATTTGCGCAGTCTGTAGTGATGTACAGAGAAACCGTCAACTACTCTGCGTGGTAGCAAGTATACAAGATGTACTAGCCGTAGAGAGTTGTCAGAACTATCTTGGGCTATACCATGTGCTTGGGGGTCTCATCGATCCACTGGAGGGTGTAGGGCCAGAAGATCTGGCTATTACCGCACTACAAAAACGTATAGAGGGGGGGATGTTTAAGGAAATTATACTCGCCACACCTCCTTCTATCAATGGGGAGGTAACTGCACGCTATATTATCAACATGAACGAAGATAAAAACTATGCATTTACACGCATAGCACAGGGCATTCCTCGCGGTGGAAACTTTGAATTTACAGATAAAACAACCCTTGCATACGCACTGGAAGCACGACGGCAATTCAAATAATGTATTCAGATAATTCTGGTGCTACAATCTATATAATCTATATGTCACATACTATATAGCTCATAACTATGTAGTATCGCTGCTTTTCGTATTCTTCTTTGTGTGTTTTTCTAAATCAAAAGCTTTAGGGCGTTCAATGGGAATCTGCAGTATTCTATCAATAATATGCTGTGCCATAAGACCTATAATTCTCCCTGTTCCAAACAATACCGTATAGAAATCAAATTCAGTAATGCCTAAAGAGTAGAGAGCTGCTCCAGTTATTGCATCAATATTTGGATTTGGGTTAGAAATTTTTCTTACATTGGAAAGTATACCAGGAGCAACATCATATACCATGTCTGCTACATGGACGTACTCCGATACTATGTTGTTGTCGTGTATAAAGTTCTTTACTAAAGTATAGCGTGGGTCTTCTACACGAAGCGCGGCATGTCCATAGCCTGGAATTTTCCTTCCTTGCTGCAACTCGTTTTCTATATAGTCACTTATAAAATCGTGGTTAAGTTCTTTCTTCTCCTCCCTCGCCTTTGCTTGTAGACGCAACAACCATTTGAATGTCTCTTCATTCGCATGTCCATGCAGTGGACCAGCAAGGGCTACCATACTTGCTACACACGTGTAGAAGGCGTTTACCAACGTCGATCCTACAAGGTGGCAGGTATGAGCCGAAGCATTGGCTGGTCCATGGTCGGCATGGGTAAAAATAAAAAGACGTATAAAATCCATAGCCTTTGCATCCTTAAACCCCATCATCCTGCTAAGATTACCTGCCCAATCTAATGTGTAATCGGGGGCTATGGTGTCGCTGTGCTTGCAGTATCGTGTATAAATATACGAAGTAATCTGATTAAGCCCAGCAATAAGTGTAAGCGCATCAGCATAGGAATACTCCCAATACTGTTCCTTAGGAATGCCGGCATCGTACTTTTCCATAAATGTTGATGTGGTGGTCCAGCAAAGCAAGGCAACACAAAATCGAGATACTGGATCGCTCTTCTTGGGAAGATTATCAATAGCTGTAAAAATATGGTGGGGTATATACGTTCGGGTAAGCAGGTGTGCACGAAAATCTTCCATTTGTGATTGGCTGGGTATTTCCCCACAAAGCAAAAACCAGAATAATGCTTCTGTAGAAGGCATGGTGGTGTTCTGAAACTTTGGTAAGCTCGTTAGTAGACTTGCAAGAGAATGCTGCCTATAGTACACCCCCTTATCAGCATGCACAATGGAAGTGGGAGAGTAGAGTAGGGGCAGATTTCTCATTCCATAGAATATACTCCTTGGTGATATGTACTCTAACTGCTCCTCTCCCCGCTCTTGCACTAAGTAGACAATCTTGTCTCTAATCTCAATATTATTCTTATATGTAAGTGTTTTTAGTTCTTTCACAGATTTTGTATTACCTCTTGAGCAAACACACTGGTGCTTACTGCTCTATGTTTTTCTGATGGGGGTAGTATGTCAACAGTTCGAGCATCCCCCTTTTCTAATACCGTAAACAATGCCCGTTCTAATGCATTGGCTGCTGTTTTTTCATTGATATCTCGTAAAAGCATAATACCACATTGAATTAAAGCTGTAGGGTTTAATGCATTCATGCCAGCAAATTCCGGTGCAGCACCATGTGTTGCCTCGTATATCACTGCTTTTTCACCTATATTTGAACCTGGGGCTACACCTAGCCCCCCTATCAACCCCGCACATAAGTCTGATACTATATCTCCATATAAATTAGGAAGCAAGAGAATATCGAAATTTTCTGGCGCCTGCACTAAGTTCATGCATAACGCATCGATAAGCATGTGCCTGCACTGAATATCACTGTGCTGGGTTAACTCTTCATGTGCTACTCTAAAAAAAAGTCCATCAGTATATTTCATAATATTAGACTTTGTTACTATAGTAATTTTCTTTCGTGCATGTGCGCGTGCATATTCCACTGCAAAACTACAAATACGTCTTGTAGCCGCCTCTGTTGCTGTTTTAATAGAAACACCAGCATCAGTTGCTACTTTTTTAGCACTGTGTGTGTTAAGATATTCAATAAGTTGCTTTGTTTCGTGCTTGCCAGATTCGAATTCTATCCCCGCATACAAATCCTCAGTGTTCTCACGAATAATCACCACATCAATGTGCTTATGGAGCGGTGATGCTATACCTTGCATGCTCTTACAAGGTCGCACACAGGCATACAGGTCTAGGGACTGTCTAAGCTGCACGTTTACACTACGGAACCCCGATGCTATAGGGGTAATAATGGGGCCCTTTAATGCTCGCCCAGTGTCTTGTATTGCCTCCAGTACATGTAGAGGGAGCAAAGCTTGTTCTGTCTCTATAGTTTTGGCGCCTGCTTCTTTCTCTATCCAACGAATAGCTACCCCTGTGGCGTCTATACACTGCTTTGTGGCATGAATAAGCTCCGGTCCAACTCCGTCTCCTGGAATAAGCACTACATCTACCATACTACCAGTATAGTACAAGAGGTATATATATTCACATACTAGTACATATAGTATCTAAATGAAGCCTCTATGATTTCCTTCATTATTTCAAACATTTCGTCTATCTCTCACTCCACCCCTCTAAAAAACATAGAGGAAAGCAAGAAAAATTTATAGGTTTTGCTGTTGCAACTCTTTTATCATTAGTCCGGCCTCTTTGTCTCTTCTAGCAATAGTGCTTTTATAAAGCCTACATCATGTTTTTTTTTTTTTTTTTTTGATCTACTATACCACCACGAGGTTTAATAGTTCTCCACTGAAAGTATGTATCAAATTCTTTTTTAGGTTGTGTATTTTTGGTGTATGTTGTTTTTATTTTCTCTTAATTGCTCTTATAGCTACTCATGGCAGAAATAATGCCCCTTCAATCCGTGAATATTAAATACCAGCACTTCGCTATGAAACAGTATACCTTCAAACAAGTTCTTAGGTAAACTCACAATACTTGTAATCTCGGGGTACGTACCGTCTACAAACTTTTTCCATCTTTTACTATCAAATGTTTGATTGAGACGAAAACCATAAGGGGTGAACATAACAATAGGTACGTCCTTCTCAAACAATTCTATTGCCTTCATCAACCACACTTCAGGTAAAAGAGGTCTTCCTCCATAATGCTGCTTAATGTACGCTTTTGTTTTTGAGTCTATATTAAACGGGGGGTTCATTATTACCAGACTTGGCCTTTCCTTGATATCTCCCTTTTTCATAGATAAATAATTCTTTATTTCTGTATGGGGGCAATCTGCATATTTTTTATCCACATCTACCCCTAACACTCTATATCCCGCCCTCATAAAAGGTTGTAAAAGAGACCCCATCCCTACACAAGGATCAAAAATAAGACCCCTTGCTATTTTTCCATCTAAGATTGAAAATAAATAATCGCTGGTCCTTTGTGGTGTATATATAGTTGCTTTCTTTTCGTTATTATAAAAATTATTTCTATCTACTCTATACATACACTCCCTTGTTATGTTCAGTTATTTGTGGTTCCTTGCACCTCGCTTACGTTGTATCTTACATACTGCTTATAATAGCAATGTAAACATTGCATCCTAAGCACTGTACTTGCATTTTTTTCATCCAATACCCATATATTGCACTGTTGTTAGATTGTGAAGCTTGTTTCCTTACATTATCTATGTTTATTGTACCCTATCACAGCACTATTCATATATAGTAAAGAATTTCGGAAATCTATTTACATTATTTGCTCGGTAAGGTAGTAGGTTTCTGCTACGCTTACCCAATTCTCTTAATAAAGTAGTGTATACTATGAACATGACAAGCACAGTTTTCATTATAAGCATTATAGTAGTGGTTCTTATTACCTCTTTTATTGTATGGATACTCACAATGAGGTTTTACAGCAATGCTCTTACAAAAGAACGGAATAAAACATACGAGATACTAGGAAAGTTGCAAGAAAGCGAAGGAAAAGTACAGGCTTTGCAGGATATACATCAAGACGCCCAGCGCTATGAGGAGCGTCTAAGCCAGCTCTTCGGTAGCCTCTCATCTAAGGCTCTTAAAGATAATTCGAGTCTATTCTTGCAACAGACAAGAGAACAGCTTAGTGGTATAGTATCTCCACTGCAGAAAGACATGGAACGACTGGATACCAGTATAGTAAACCTCGAGAAACAGCGCGAGGGGGCGTTTACATCTCTCAACAGTTCATTACTGCATCTTAATAAAGAAATTAAAGAGCTCTACACAGCAAACTCAGACCTTACAAAGAGCACGCTACAACTCAACAGCGCGCTTCGATCTGATGTTGCCACTCGTGGACACTGGGGAGAAATTCAACTTCGCAGAATAGTGGAAATATCGGGCATGAAACAACATATAGACTTTCTCGAGCAGGTAAGCACCAGCGCAGGAAGACCAGATATGATCATCAAGCTTCCAAGCGAGGGTATCATCCCAGTGGACGCTAAAACGCCTATGAGTGCGTATTTAGAGGCATGTCAGGCTAGCACCGAAGAACAGAAAAAAAACGCCCTTTATAGACACAAACAGTCTCTCCATAAGCATATTGCTACACTCAGTAAAAAAGAGTACTGGACAGCCTTTGACCGCACCCCGCAGCTTGTTATTATGTTTGTTCCATACGAATCGGGTATTGAGGCATCCTTTTCCATAGACCCCGACCTTCTCGATAATGCCTTGCTCAACAAAGTAATAGTAGCTGGCCCCTCCTCCCTCTACGCCTTGCTTAAGGTAATATCTTTTGGGTGGATGCAAATTGAATTAAGCAAGAATGCAGAGGAGATACTCTCTGCAAGTCAGGAGCTCTTTAAGAGATTTTCTACATTCTTTGAACATTATAAAAAAATAGGAGTGCAACTTAAAAGTGCTGTCGATAGTTATAACAACGCAAACTCATCATGCAAGGCACGTTTGCTTCCCCAATTACAAAGGATAAAAGAAATGGGTGTTAAGCAATCTGAGGTATTAGATGACGCAGATTTGCTACCATTAGAACATCCTCAATATGAATAGTAAGCACAGTACAGAACACCCAATTGCTGCTCTTGCTACTCCATTTCAGCCCAGTGCGCTTGCCATAGTGCGCGTATCAGGAAGGACTTGCATTTCTTTGCTTGCAAAAATCTGCTCGAATCCAAAAAAAATTCTTGAAGTTACAGCAAACCTTACTTACCCCTACATGCTTGTTGATCCGAAGAACATGCAGAAACTTGATAGAGCAATGATAACGGTGTATCGAGGGGGAAAATCATATACAGGAGAAGAAAGCGCTGACATTACTATTCATGGGAGTATTGCGGGTATACAGCGCCTGCTCTCTACTTTGTACCACGTAGGTTTTGCTGCAGCAGAGCCAGGTGAATTCACAAAGAGGGCATTTCTTAACGGAAAACTTGACTTAACACAGGCAGAAGCAGTTCACGAAGTAATCCAAGCACAGAACAGCAGCAGTCACATCGAAGCCCTAGAAAAGCTAGCGGGTTCTGTGTTTTCTTATATTGATACTATAAAGCAAGATGTATTACAGCTTGTAGCTGCATGCCGCGTAAGCCTAGACTATCCTGAAGATGAGATACAAGAGCGTATTGAATTTAAAACAGAAGACATACAGAATGCCATCAACAAAATTGATGCAATGCTTGCTGCGTATCAGATACATAAAACAAGGCAATCAACTCTCAGAATAGTAATATGCGGTCAGACTAATGTGGGCAAAAGCTCGCTTTTTAATGCGCTTACACGAGAAGAACGGGCGATAGTAAGCAGTACACATGGGACTACGCGAGATTTTCTTGAGTCTTCGTTTTCATTGCGGGATATACCCATTACGCTGTACGACACTGCGGGTATTCGTAGCCTGACGCCTCAAGACAAAGACAGAAGCATTGAAGAGGCTGGTATCGAGCGAAGCAAAGAGCTTATTGCCCATGCTCAGCTCATACTCTTTATGGTAGATATGCACAGGGGGTGGACAGAGAAAGACACAGTTCTTTTTCAGGACATGCTTGCCTTGCACGGCAAGGAAGACACTCCACCTGCAGTGCTTATTGTGTATAATAAATGTGATCTCCTTGCATCTCCCCCCTCCGAGGCAGTATACACCACAATACCGCATGCTCTTAGTGCATACAAGAACCCTAGTAGTACAGTGTGTATTAGTGCAAAACAGTATCGTAACATAGACGTGCTACTTTCTAACATATATACAGTACTTTGCAAAGATATGCCCAGTTCCTACGAAGGGCTTCCCCAGCTCTCTTCAGAACGCCAGAAAACACTACTCGAAGAAAGTAAATCTGCGCTTGTAGAAGTAGCACGAGCACTAGAACACTCACTCCCGCTTGATATGATAAGTTTAGACCTAGACCAGGCATTATCTAGTTTGGGTAAAATTACTGGCGAAGTACTGGACGATGATGTGTTAGATCTTGTTTTTTCGTCGTTCTGCGTTGGCAAATAGCAGTATGCTATCTCACTCGTATATAGAGGTTTATTTCAAACTGACTCAGCCAATCTGCTGGATTAAAAATATACTCATAATTTCTATTATTAGGATCTTGATTTGTTGCTCCCTCATAGTCATCTTCTATTAACTCAGTATCCGTAAAATCAAACCAAGCTAAAAAATCACCTAAACTAAAACGATACCGAAACTCTACATTGCTGCTTTCAAAGAAATTGCCAGAAAAGGAGGGTACGAGCGACCAATCGGGGACATAGGAGCGCGCAGAATTTACTAAGCCGGTGGTTTTTGCAAGCACACCAGCAAAAGATTGTACCTCGGTAGGAGTAAAGGGTATATCAATATAATAGGAATTAGTGAGAGAAAAATTAAGTGCTGGATGTATATTATACGTGTAATTAAATTTTACTGTGTGCCTGTAATCATTAAGAGCTGGCAACCAACCATCTTCGGCGGTTTCAAAATAGGTAAACCCCAATGTATATGAGAGATCTAGTAGTTGATTATCAGAGATAAACTGCCAGCGCAATGTTCCCCCGGTCCCATATCCATGCTGCACAGGAAAAAACGAGTATCCACGTTCATTCTCTATGGTATCGTACCTGTACTGACTAAACACACCATTAAAATTATAGTACCACCCAAAGTATGGTGTTACAGAAAGTTGGTGCTCCCCTAATGTAACAAGGTACTTGTTAAAGAACATAAACCCATAATTGGGGTCTGTATATATCGTATCTCCTGCATCATACTTTATAGTTTCTTCCAGTATTTTTCTATCAATGTACTGTAATTTTTCTAAGAACGCTGGGCTCCAGCTTGCAAAGAAAGATATAGTGTATATATCGCTAAATGTTGTGGAGAGCTCCCCTCGCACAGAGGGGTACAATTGCTCGGGCGACTGGTATATCCATGCAAGACCGGGTGAAAGAGAGAGCTTAAATTCTCCTCCCAAGTAGCTAGTCTCATAATCATATTGAAGATAGGTGTAGCTATGGAAGTACTCTTCATCCACTACATACAAGGGCAGCTCAACTTGAATAATATCTCCAGGAATGTTTATATTCTCGTAAGAGTAGAGATCTTGATACTCTGCATATAAATTCGAGTAGTGCAAAATAGCTCCTATACTTAGCAGATGCTCATCTCCTAGTGCAAGAGAGAAGTTGTTTTTATGCCAATATCCCATACTGTAGAAGCTCCCTTATAATCGTAGCCTCTGAATATATTTCTATTTTCTCTTTGCGCTGCTTGACGCTCTCGCTCCGGCACCACCTTAATGTTAAATTCTGTATCGGCTGTTGTCGTATAGTAGTAGCCAGTAAAATCCAAAGCGTTAAAGCCAAAGGAACCCACAGCTCTTGACCACTGTATGCCGGCTCCCAGAAAATAAGGGAAACTGATTGTGTCTAACTCTACATTATCAGTCTCAGAAAAGACATTTATTGTGTCATAAAATGCTAGCGTAATAAATTTTACTCTGTCAACATCCTTTTGGTAGTCTAAAGACAAAAACCAGTCTCCATAGAGATACCGCGTAATATCTGTTGTGGTGCCTGGAACCGTCGCCTCTACAAGCTGTTCGATAAGAGGGAACAGTGTATACTGAGCAATAGATTGTCGTGCAATAGTGAATATACTACCATTCTCGTCAAATTTTGTACGAAATCCTAGATAGGGATCAGTAAGGCCTATCCCAATATCATACTGTGTATCTATTACGTTTTCGGGGAAAACTATTACTGTACCCCCCAAGGCTTGGCCATACTGTCCTGGTGGTGTTCCTTTTATTGTTTTAATAGTACTAATTGCTTCCTTGCTAATTATTGGTTTTGTGCTATCTGCGAGGTGTGTATTAGAAGGAATAGGAAGAAAGTCAATAAACGCTAAGTTCCAAGCTGTATCTCCTCCAAATACAGAATAAGACGATCCTGGTGCAAAAAAATTGCCGCTTCTGGGGTTAAGTATAAAGGGGGGTCCCTCTGCTATTTCAGAGTTAAGCACAACGCCTGCCTCTGTGGTAATAATGTTAAATGGATCGTTGTTGGGCACGGGTATATTATCTACCAATTCTTCGGTATACTCAGTTACATTTGGCTCTTCTTGTATCTCACGCTCTGCGGTAACCACTATCTCTTCTTCAACTGTCGTCTCGCCTAGTTCAGGGGATATTTCAAAGATTTCTGGATTCTCCTCGTTGGATGCGTTGACTTCTATATTAAAATCAAACTCCTCATCAAACACAAAAATCTTAAGAAAGTAGTTCCCTGCCTCTATATCATAGAATACAAACTTCCCATCCTCTCCACTCAATTCCACAGCGTCTATTTCTACAATAACTACTGTTGCATCAGAAACTGCCTCTCCTGCATCCAGCACATACCCGTGGTATTCTAAAGCAAAAAGAGGGCTACTATACAAAAATAATAATACGCATAGTATTTTAACGTTTGCACTCACTACTAAATAATAGTACACTTTTACTATAAATGAAAGCACTAATATGCGAATGATGCAAGACAATAAAGACCCCCTATATCCTCTCGCAGCACAGGACCTAGTAAGCGCGAGTCTAAACCTTTTTCATCTAATGCAAATACAGGAAGAGAATGTGGTAGTGTATTGTTTTGGAGAATATAACTGCGGGTGCTTTCGTATACCCTCTTAATAACATAATGCCCCCTCGCTTCCATCCTTGCTGCTATATGTGGATGCACCTTCTCCAGCCATCTAGGGTGTATGGCAACATATGCTTCCGTGCACATTATGTGAGCATAGTTATACTGGCGTATATAATACCCAATTGGCACCGAAGCACTTGTGTTCCGTAGAATAAGCGGGGCTACTCTCTCTTGTAATACAAGCAATATGCAAAGCCCACATACTATAACAGAACACGTTATCCAACAGTAGCGCTTCATTCTCTTGTAATAAAAAAATACTGCTGTCTTAGATCTAATGTTTCAAGATAATCATCGGTGGCACTCAGCCAGAGAGGAAAAGAAATTATAAAACCCAGGAGCCCTGCACCAAGTATGGAGTATCCTGTAATCACGGTACTATCTTGATAGAGATCAAATTCTTCGTTATTTGCTAACAATGCATACGAAGCTACTCCTCCACCAATTATCGCAATGATAAGCCCTGCAATAGCAATACCCTTATGTACTGACATGTGGTACTTGTGCTCCTCAATGTAAGCATCAAAACTGTGCAGATCTTCCATCACATCAGCATAAGAAGCAAAGGGAGTACAGATTATACATAACAACATAATGCACAAAATAGTTCTCTTCATATCTTTGTGTTCCCCCTACATGGGATCCATCTCAATATCATAATGCACAAAAACATGAGAAAGCGTTCCGGGTTCCACAGTAAGAGTTGCTTGCCGATCCAAAAATTTATTCGCTAGTCTTTCTGCAGAAGAAATGGCATTACTGCCGGTTCGTTGTAGCACATCAGAAAGAATCGCGGCTTCATTACCACTAGACTGTAACGAAGCTGCCCCATAATCCACACCTAACTGAAAAAGTGAGGAGAGTAAGGACACCCCAATACTAGCTCCAATGTTTGTGCGTACCCTAGATGCCACCCCAGCAGATCCTTGCGTATCCACCCCTTGCATGCCTTGAAGAAAAAGCACCACTCCATCTGTTCGTGTTACACGTTCCCATACAACAAGCACCCTCACCTGCCCCCATGATATCTCAGAATCATAGGTTCCTATTAATGTAGACCCCTTAGGGATAAGCAGGTTGTAGCCGTGAAATGAATCGTAGATGTTCTCCACAACTCGAGCGCTTATACTACCTGGAAGATCACTGTTAATTTGGCTAAGCAGTACTATAGGAATAATAGAACCTGCTGCCAACACCGATTTTGTATTCCTTATGCTGCTCCTTTCCTGTTGTATGCTCTTCGGTTCTTTAGATTGCTGCAGATCAAGAAATCCCTTCTTAGCTTGCTGAGAATTTTGCACATTGTAGTTCGATTGTGTCTCGGAAAAGTGTATTGCCTTCGACAGTACATCTCCTGCCTCTGTAATAGATTCCAAGTGTGGGATGGTAACTCCTGCTTTAGATACAAAGATAGCAGATAACCTCCCTTTCTCGATATGTGAAGCACTGCTTTCGGCAACTTCTTTTTTCCCCGATAACAGATCGCCTAATTGCCCCAACCTCTTGCTAAAGTTTGAGGCAATGCTAGTATACGTAGTGGTAGTGTTGCTGTAATCGGAACTTTCTCTAAACTGCTGAGGTATACGTACGCTGGTATCAGTACCCACATCATCAGTTATCACACCGTCTTTAACGCGTGGCAGAACATCTGCTGAGGGAGAATCACTACTATCACTACTATACACATTTCCTGTGCTTGCATCCTCATACACTAAGGATTTCATGCGTAGTTTTTGTATCTCATCTATTTCTTGCGCCTGCTTGCTATTAGGAAATACAGTGCTACCTAGCTGTTCTTTTATACTAGTATTGTAGTCGCTAGCTATAATCTCCAAGTCATGTGGAACAATAACGGTAAACACCCCCTTCTTCTCTTCAACACTCTTTCTTTTACTTGTATGCGTGCTTCCTAAACCTATGACAAGAGCAGTAATTACAAGTCCAATAAACAACAGGAAAAGCAAACGAATGAGTTTAAGTTTTAATGTAATATTTTTTGGCAGCATACTTACTTGCCCCTTACTATTCTTAGAGAATCACTTTTCTTGTTTCCTAAACGTAGCTCTGCTATATCAAATATTCTATCTACAATATAGTAGTCTCCTAGTACCCTATAGTTTACAAGAGTGGAGTTTCCAGCAGTATCTAAAATAAACAGGGCTGGCGCACGTGCTGCGTGATAGGTATTAGAAAACTGTATAAAAGTTCTCTCACCATTATCAAAAACCTTGCTTGGTGTCCATTCTGGCTTGCTTCCATAATGGATAATAGTGTATGTAAATCGCAAATCCTTAAGTGCAACAGGTGTTTCAATAAGTTCCTGTTTCTTATCCCTTGCTAGCTGTTTTTTCGGATATCTCCACTCCACTGCAACCATATATGTATCATCATAACTTTCTAAACTAAGAAAATAACTGCGGAAATTCGTGTTAATGACCATATTTGTTTGTAGGTCTGAGAGCAGGGGTTTTATATATATAAATTGTCTGTCTTGAACAAAATTAGATTCAATAATCCAGTTCGCTGAATCTCCTACCACTAATTCTCCATGTAACTCTTCCCTTTTTTCCAACCTTAGCACGGTAATTCTTAGTGGAGCGGTAAATATACTATATATATACTCTTCATTGAAAACGTCTTCTACCAAGCTGTTATGTATCATTGCCTGCTTAGGTTGCTGCAGTGATTCCTTGTTCGCGAAATCTATGGCTTCCAGTGGATTCTTACTGTTGTTTACGTCTTCTTCAAGATGAAACAATGGAACACGCACTGCGGCAAAAGCAAGATCCTCCTGCACCTCTTCGTGTACTTCTAGTGTTTGCTCTGCTGTACTATTCATCATAGCTGCATCTCGCAGTTGCTGTGGCTGCACTGCTTCCCCCACTCCTGCTGCTCCAACGCATGCATGAAAAGATACACAGCAAGCACTCAGTACTACACATTGCACAAAGTGCCTCATTCCTCTACCTCTACCCAATGAAACGTATCAATAAAGATACCTAGGGGGTTATAACGAAGTATGTCAACATCACGTATGTTCCGTAGCTCTAACTTAAATACCCCTCTCCATGGTTTTTGTCGTATGATAACACCGTTTTTATTCCATGTGGTTTCCATCCAGTTTACTTGCCTCGTAAACTGCGAGTGTTCTAACACTGAGTTTACTTTTATATCCACTCGCTCTCTTTTGTATCTGTCTAAGGGTTGTATATTTCGAGCATACGTATTGAGAATGTTCGCCCCTGTTGGAGTAAGATAGTGATATGCATGCGTCCAATTCCTTTTTACAACAACAATATCGCTAGATAAAGAGCGAACATACTCTAAGAACTGTAGTAAATGAAACTTAATATGCTTTTCAGATACCTCAAAGCTACGTTCGTAGACTGAGCCCTTATACACAGCGGAACCATCATTCAGCACTTCTATAACATGAGGAACTACCCTTGGTGCATCGAGTAGGGAAAGTAAGGAAAACCCTAAAAGCACAGAAAGCACAACTAAGAACAAGGCGCAAACCCCTAGTAGTCTTGCATGCATTTGTGCCTTACCCAGGCGATAGTCCCACCTTTGCTTTGTCTGAATATACGGATGTTCTATCTCCATTTCAATATATAATATCTATATAAGTGGTCTTTGATTGAAATATACACAACAGATATAACAAAAGAGGGTTATATGGAATACAAAACATTAGGAAATTCTGGTATTAAAGTAAGCATGCTTTCTATGGGAGCTATGACATTTGGAAGAGAAACATCTAAGGAAGATAGTTTTACCATGCTGGATATTTTTGAGGAACATGGTGGAAACTTTATTGACAGCGCTAATATCTATTCATTAGGAATATCTGAAAAAATAGTAGGTGAATGGGTACAGCGTACAAATAGAGAACAACACATTATTGCCACTAAAGTGCGGTTCCCTATGGGAAATACAGTAAACGAGCGTGGCTTAGGACGCAAGCATATCATACACTCAGTGCATGCTAGCTTAAAGCGATTAAAGACAGATTACATTGATGTGTTATATGCTCACTGCTGGGATTACAGTACTCCTCTCGAGGAAACCATGGACGCTTTCTCTCGTTTAGTAGAGGAGGGGAAGGTACGATACATTGCAGCGAGTAATTTCTCCCCAAGCCAACTACAACGTGCCTGTGACATGAGTGTATACGAGGGTTATCAGCCTTTTATCGCTCTGCAATCAAAATACAATCTCATGATACGCTCTGTAGAGTGGGAACTACTCAATGTATGCGAAGAAAATGGTATTGGGTTTGTAGTATGGGGGCCCTTGTTTGGCGGATGGCTTAGTGGGAGATATCAACGTGGTATGACAGAAGCCCCCGAGGGGAGAGTAAGGGAAGCAGAAAAACACGATTGGTTTGAGAAGTGGTCGAAGTACAACAACGAAACTACATGGAACATTGTTGACACTGTGGGAACTGTGGCAAAAAAGCATAGCAAAAGTTATGCCCAGGTTTCGCTTAACTGGCTTAGCAAGCAGAAAGCTATCTCTTCGATCATTCTAGGTGCAAGTAAAATTGAACATTTGAAGGATAACCTTGCTTGCATAGGATGGGACATGGACAGTGAAGACGAGGAGCTTCTAGAAAAAGCATCGAGTATAGAACTGCCGTATCCGTATGATTTTCTCGAAAAAACAAAAGAATAACTACAGCACTACAAGCAGCCCTATACTGAATTTTTCTCTACTGAGTTTCGGGGAGTATCCTTAAAGGAATTTTTTGCAGACCGTTGAGTGGTATTCCTCTCATCGCTTTCGGATCTGCCATGTGCTTCCCTCGAAGAAAACGCATCAGAATTACTGTGCTTTCTCGAGAGCGGTGGGATGTTGTTTTCTTCATAAGGAAGAGGGCTAGATGCATTAGAAGAATTGAGATCTGGTATATTTTCTTTTATAGAGTCTGCAAAAGCCCCTCCTTTTGTAATGGCGGTAGAAGAAGTAAGCACTGCCATAGTCAATGACGCCGCTCGTTGCATAGGGGAATTTCCTATATCACCCGCTGGCATAAATGCATTGATAATACTCCCCGATTGTAAGATCAAATACACTCCTATAGTCATGTGTAAGATCATAACTAGCTGTGACACAAAAGTAACACCATCATCTGTATCCATGCGACGTACTATTTCCAAAAAGCTCTCTATCACAAAACCAGAGACAAGAGAAATACTCAATATTCGTATCCCCTGAAACATAAGAACAGACATTACATTAGAGCTTATAAATCGGGTGTGTTCATTTGCCTGAAAAGGCACAAGCAAAATAGCTAAGAGCAAAATAAAATAGAATTCAATCTGCACCATACATAAAACAATTACAATTATGGCTATAATCACAATTAAGCCTATAAATATTATCATCGAAGTAAGCGCTGGTACAATTACCTTTACGATATTCCATAAACTTACATCCAGCAATTCGCGTATCTTGTCTATGTACTGTTGGAAGATATGCTCGGTAGCATACGAAAACAACTCAAAGGGGTTGCTTAAATAATCAAGGGAATATCCATGTATGCGTAACCCCATGCTTTGTAGTGTTTCTGCAAATATAATACCTATGCTATCTATATTCCTAATAAGATATATCCACACCCCTACATACAGTACCTTTTTTATTATTTCTTCTAGCGATGCAATTTCGCCTAGTATCATTTTAATACCAATGCATATTATTTCAAACAGCAGAACTGTCCATAGAATAATATCTGCTACTGCGTATGCAGACTGATAATACGATTGTATTTTCTCCACATAGAAATCAAAACTATTGTAGAGATCTTCTAAAGAATCTTCTGTCATGTAGTCTCCGCTCTGCTAATGAAGCTTCCAAAATGCATCTACTGTTTTCTGTATGAGTTTCTCTTCTTCTTCATGCACAAGGGATTCTAGCATTGTAATATGAGATCCTATTTTTGTTTCTTCAATAAGTTGCATAAGTTGCCGGTTAGATGCTAGCACGTTAGTGTTAAGCAACTGTAATTGTTGAAGCACAGTATGCTTGCTTTTTATCTGTTCTGTTACTGCTTCTGCAAAATTAAAACCCTTCACGATAGCGTTTTCTGTATTACTACCTAACAAAATCATTTCTTTTAGACTTTGTATAGACCTCTCTATATCATTTACTACAAACCCCTTGATACGATCCTCAAACCCCTCCCGAAGGAGCAGTTCTCTTTGGTGTAATAACTCCTGTATAAATTCTCCATACGCAAGCCCTTGCACAACGAAATTGTACAGAGCATCATTTTCTTCGTGAAGGATAGAATCTATTACTATATCTTCAAATTCCTGGTACAGTTGAAAGAAAAACTGAAGTTCTTCTTCGCTTTGTAGGAGCTGCTCTAGTTGCTGATACAAGATAGAAGTAAGGATGGGTATAACCCCTGCATCACCAAATTGAGGATGTGCTATATCAAGCCCAAATACTCCAAAAAAACACAGCAGTAAGATAGTTCTTTGTATAGACTGCAACATTCGTGCCCTCCTTTTTACTGTATTATGTGTGTGCCTGCATAAGCATTCGTAGTATGTTTTCATTTAAATCTAAAGAAAATAGCGCACTTTTACTCTGCGCCCTTATATAATACTCGTGCTTTGGTGTAGCAGACGCAAGCAGTGCAACCTCCTCTGTATGCAGGCCGAATTTTGCATACATTGCTTGCATCTGTTCGTTCATAGCAGCTTTATTTGGAAGAAATATTTGTACATGGCAAGCATTCATTATAGTATCTACAAGCGATGAATGCGCCAAATCCACTACATCTTGGGTAGCTAGCACTACAAATACATGTTTTTTTCGTAATGTTTTAAGCCATGCACGAAAGCGATCTGCAAAAAACTCATGTTTTAGAAAGAGCCACCCTTCATCTATAATTAAAAGCGTTGGCTTCCCTGTAAACATTTTCTCTACTTTGTGAAAGAGATACATCAATGCTGGAATAAGTACCTGCTCTCCCATATCCATTAAGTACCCCAACTCTACCATAAGCCAGTTTCTTTTGAAGATATTCTTTCCTTCACCATCAAACACAGAACCGTACATTCCTTCTTTGCTATATTTTCCAAATATACGTTTCGATGTTGTAAACTGTAGAAGCTCTACAAATGCAGCTACAGTTCTTTCGCTCTCATCCATGTCTGCAAGTAGCAAAAGACATCTTTTTATATCTTCTATCTCTTCTGGGCTACACCTATAATTGTTAAGAAACAACAATTCTTCGCAAAATTGTAATGCCCAGTACCGCTCTTGTTCTGCACAGATATCGCTAAAAACCTGAAACGCTGCTTCGTTGGGAGCTCCAGGAACAAATACCTCTCCAGATACATTCTCGCTTAAGTGCTTCGAAGAAAAATCCTTATCGAAGATAATAACACGTGCCTTAGGATAGCGTAAAAATTGCACAGCTAACATTGCTAGAAATGTAGATTTACCTGAACCTGTTGGCCCAACGACAAAACTATGCCCCACATCTTCCACATTGTTATTAAAATAAAATACATTGCTCTCAGAACTTGCTACCATAAGCGGATCTGCATTACCAGAAACTTCTTTCATAAACATATTCTGCTTCATACCATTCCAGGGGGTAGAAAGGGGAATAAGGTGAGATGCGTTTACTGTATGAATAAGGAATTTTCTTGCGTTAGCATACACATGCCCGGGGAGCGAAGAAAGCCAAGCTTCTACTGTGTTTACTGTTTCTTCTTTTATGATAAACCCTCTATTGTGAAATATCTTTTTAATAACATCAACCTTTTTACCCAGCATATTTTTATCGGAATCCTTCAGTACTACTACAGAAGTAAGTAAGCCAAAATTAACTCTTCCCTTACCTATCAACTGTAGCGCTGCATCAGCATCCATTGCTTTTACCAGCGATTCTGTATTCTCCAGCGCCTGTTCCTTATTCACCTGCTCCTGCATTACCTTAAAAGTATTTTTTCTTTTAGCGTAATGTTTTCTTCTTATCTGTTTTATCCGTGATAGTACATTCGCTTCATTCAAAAACAGAAAGCGTTGTTGAAAGCGAAAATCGATGTCGCAGCTCTGCAAATCCTTTAGAATATTTGCTCGTGTATGGTGCGGAAAATCGTTTATAGACAAAACAGCACAGTAATCTTCACCAACAGTAAAATCTTGCTCTACGCACATGTTTTGATCTGCTATGTATTCGCTAATATCTACAGTTTCTGGAGGAGCAAGTACCTGCTGCTCCTTGCCAGAGACACAGAAATGAATATACGATAATGTCTGTGCATTATCCAGCTGCTCAACTCCCAAAAAACACTCTTCAAGCATGCCTTGTATGCTCCTCATGTTCTTTATGAACTCCTTTAGTGCATTATTCAAAGAATATTTGGCTGCATTAAAAAACATCGCAAGCTTTCCACCGCTCTTGCTCTGGTGGCAAAATGTTATGTAATACTCCATAGTATACAGTTTGCTCTGTGAATAGCACCTCTTCCTTTCATATTCTATGCACGCAGCAAGCTCCGAATCCCAGTGTTCTTGAAATTTCAGCTGTTCTTGTTTTCGAATTGACTCTACAAATACCGACCAACCACTTCCAAACCTCATCATCATATTGTTTACAGACGCAACCACACTATCCACCTCCTCTGCTTTTGCGGTAGCAAGATATGCGGGTTGTACCTTAAACGTACTCTGAAACACACTATCTTTCTGAACAAGAACAGATGGTGCTACAAAGCAGCTCCACGGAAGAAAATCTGCTAATAAACGCCCTCTGTGCTTGTTAAAGTAACGTACATCTAGGTAATCTAACACAAAAAATAACTTGGGTAGCGCATAGATCGAAGTGCTATATCAAAAAAGAACTCGTCAACTCTCATAATCAGCACTGAAACTATATGTAGAAGAAGACCGAACGGCAATATCCACCACTGCCTAGCTGCTAACACAGCTACCAAAACAGAAAACCACAGTAAGTAACAGACACGCTCATGCACCCCGGCAATGGTAATGGGATGCAATAATGATTGATACACTCTTACCATACATCATCCCACAGCAAACACACCCTCGCCAGAACCAAAGAGTAGGCTCAGTACACTTGGTGCATTCAAAGCAATTCCAATACCCATAACAACAAAAAATATTTTTTGTTTTGCATTTCCTCCGTCTGATGTTGCAAGCATAATACCTGCTCCTGCTATAAGTATGACTCCTATAATCATTACAGTTCGCCCAGTAAGTGCTTTCTGTATTTTTTCTAACGCCGAATCCCATGGCATGGATTCTTCCGAATCAGATACTGCCCATGCAGATACAGACAAAATAAATAATAAAAAAGAAGTTGCACATAGTTTTTTCATATCATGTCCTCTGTTATAAATAAGTTGTTTTTATATTCTTTTACTTTTTTTATCTCAACTACCTTTCGTAGCGAGGCTTCTCGTTTTACAAATACGCAGAGATCCACTACTTCAGCTATAAAATTGCGTGGTGCTGATTCTACCGCTTCTTCTGTAAGCTGAGCAAGTCGCTCTAAGGCAAGGGAGGCCGAGTTTGCATGTATAGTGGTCATACCTCCACCATGCCCTGTATTCCAAGCTTTCAGTAAATCGAGAGCTGCAGCATCGCGTAATTCACCTATAATTACTCTATCAGGTCTCATACGTAGC